AGTTGAAGTCGAGATTTTAAGCTTTTGACGAATGTTTAACTGTAAAATTTATTTTTAAATTTTACTGTCGTAATTCGAGCAATCTCTCCCTGGGTTCCTTTTTTATATACAACCGTGCACGGCGTGGCGTGTGCGGTTTTAATTTTACACTTAATAAAAATTGCGCCTTTGTGAAGATACAAAGCGTCCCCAACTTTTGTAATATCGCTGTAATTTATAATGGCCCGATTACTTTTTTAATATGAAAATTATTACCATGGATATTTGTGCGGAGACACAATTGACTTTCGTTCATATTTTTGTTTGTAGATTTAAAACCTTTATTATTATAATAATTGCTAAGTAAAAACAACTGGAGGCATGATTTTTGTCTATAAAACCAAATTTCGATGTATTATAATTTTGCCATCATCATCAACCTGCCCTTATCCCTACGGAGGGTCGGCACAGTATGTGCTACTCCTCCATACATCTCTATCAGCCGTCATATCCGAGTCTACCCCCTTCCTACGCATATCCTCATTCACATAGTCATTCCATACTTTTGTAACAGCATTAAATTCGATTAAATTCTTAAATTACATAACCAATCATTTTTTGGACCAAGGCCCTTCGCTGAAGTGACAATTGATTAACCCAGATGACGTCACAGTTGCTCAGAGCGTTCATCGCAAATGTCGAAACATGGCGCTAATGTGCCCCGACCTCTACCCCAATTATATCTCTGACGAAAATACAGTACTATATTTAAATGAGTACCTTAAGGGAGAAAACTGTTATAATACAATAGGAAAACTATGATTTCTGGAGCTGGAGATTTCTTCTAGAAAATGTTTACAGTAGCACAATCGGATAGATGGATGGATGTTTGTTAGAAGGTAGCAGCATGGATCTCTCTGAAATTTAACGTATATGTAGAACAAAGTCTGGAAGAACACATAGGCTAGTTATTTTTTATTACCGGAGTCGCGTGCGAAAGCTAGTTTTTGAATAAAATGAAAATGTTCCAATAATGTTGTCCGGAAACTGCAAATGAAAAGGGGAATTTAATTATAGAACTTCAATGGAATCCCACCAAACATCCAATTTAGTTGGACTAAAAGCTAAACTAATTGGTTTTAGTTGTTTTACAAATGAATCTCCTGAATATTCTCTTTAATCAATTCGCAAACTAACAGTATTTTTCAGTACAAACAAGAAAGTGGCAAAGGTAAAAAATAAATAAAATATAATGGAACATTAATAAATCGATTATACCAACGAGAATCGATTTGAAACTTTTTATGTTTAATTGTTTATCGATAGACCCCTATCGATAATTTTTGTAGCTCGTTATAGTTGAGCGCTTGTAAAAGGCTGGTGAACACAACCACTGCCGGGGTACGTAACATTCCCCCCATTTTCAATTTGTACCAAATTGCCTCGTTAATTAATATCGGTAGCAGCTGCGATCGATTTACGACTCAATTAAAAGCAATTTGGTGAAACACGCCTCCAGCTAGCCCGAGATCCGTAGTTTTGATGATAGACAGATAATTATGTCGGGATTTGGAAAACCCTCATTTACCATTTTAATTACTATCGAAGAATATAATTGGGATACGCATTTCTTTTGACAACCAATGAATTATTATTACTTTTGATAAGTTGCTTTAAACATATTTTTGCTACTTTGAAAGAGAATAAGAGATAAAGGTTTTAAATGTATATTCAGTTGGAACTCACGTTTGGTTTAATTTCTATCATGTAATTAACACATGACTAAAGTTCCCGAATGACTATTATTTCGCGATTCTTTTTGACTATAGAAAGGTTTCGCTCAATTGTCTTATATATAAAAATCTCGTGTCACAATTTTCGTTCCCATACTCCTACGAAACGGCTTGACCGATTCTCATGAAATTTTGTGAGCATATTGAGTAGGTCTGAGAATCGGCCAATATCTATTTTTAATCCCGCCCGGACGGAGTCGCGGGCGACAGCTAGTAATATTATAAAACTATCGTACGAGACTGATATTGATATGCTGTTGCCCCTAACAACTCGTATGAGGTGTAACATGTGGCTGGGACTCAAATAACAATAAAAGCATCAGGCGCTATAAATAAAGACCTTGAATTGAATTATTTTACGATCTTGTGCTGAAGCCAAAGAAAAGTACATAAAATACATTTTAATTATGTTGTCTGTTACTTCTTATTAATATTGTAAATGCGAAAGTTTAGCTCAGTGGATGTTTGTTAATAAGTATTATATCTCCGCACTTGGCCAGCGTGGTTGACTATGGCCTAACCACCCTTAACTTAGGGTAGGCTCCGAGCCCCTCGGTTGGGACGTATAATGAGCTGATGATGATGATGATATCTCCGGAACAGCTCAACTAATCTTGATGAATTTTGGCACAAATGTAGAACACGGGCTACTATTATTTTTTAGCTAGTTAGGTTATAAATTATTAAAACTATAGAATCTATTGTTTAACCTTGATGAATTAGACTCCATATTCTGCCTAGCCAGGTTTATTACGCAAAATAAATTCTGAAAACACCTTATCTCAAGACGCAGCGCAAGGAGCCACGTTCTCGGGTATAATGGTACATTTAAATCACACATAAATTTTACTTCTTATTTCATGCTTATCTCCTCTCGCACAAGTTGCGCAAGTTAACGGCGGTAGGCGCTCTTATTGGTCCATATTTCCTGGCAATTTCCAGCCATTCGTTAAAACTGAATGCTCCAATATCCTCCCGCTGTAAATTGTTAAGTTTTACTACAAGACCTATTTTTGTCTTACGTAAATTTATCAGTTTGATAGAAATAAAGTGCGTGTTTTTTTAAGCCAATGACATTTTTTTCCTTCAACCGTGTGTCATCACAGACAATAAAACTTTTATCTCACTCATGCTCTTGAAAAAAAATGAGATAGCGATATTCGTTGTACTTGCGTCTAGCATTGGATACCCACGTTAAAACATACATCATGAATTTCTCAATGTTTATTCTATCTCATCGTGTCCGTTTGTTAGTTCGTGATTCATTTGTTTGAATTGATGCAATGAATTAGCATTCAAATGGACTAGCTAGACCCTCTATGTACAATTAATAAAATTTATATTTCGCAATCATGGCGTATTTGCGTTGCTTATAACGAAAAAAAACCATAATTTTTTCAATTTTTGTCTATGTCCTATCATTAAGTCTACGATGTACTAGCTTAGATTCATAATTTTTAATGTTTCGTTTGCAAAGAAGTGCAATTACTTACACCTAAAAGTGCAAAAACATTTTCGGCACGAGTTCCGCACCAATTCAAAGCGACGGCGATTGCTAAAGTTTTGGAATGAATGAGCTGGAAGCTCTTGAGCGAATACGCGAGCTTGCGGTCCGCTAAGCGATGTAACCTTACGAACCACTACGAGTGTACTTGGCTTAGACGTATGTTTATATGTATGAAACTTGCATATAAATTTATAAAAATAACTAGGAAAAGCGATGTTTTAGGAAGAAGAATACCTTACTAAAATACTACTGATATAGATGCACAACATAATCAGGAAGAACACATAATGTTCTAAGTTTTTTTTTCTTTCCGGGCGGTCGGAGTCGCTGGTCACAGTTAGTTTTGTTTATAAATTTAAAAGTTACTTATTCCTTTGTTAAACGAACAAAATAAAACCGAATACAGTGACTTACATTCCAATTTAATTATTTCGTAAAGATTAATAAAGAAAACAAAATCCTTTAGTCTCACTTTTCAGCTGCTTAGTATTCCTTGAACATTCTACTCTAAATAATTGTAGCTCCCTCACTCCGGGCAATGAGAAAATAAACAAAAGCATTGATCCCACTCGCAAGCTCTTGAACGTCCGATTTATTTAGAAGGAAACCGATATCTTTAATTAAAACGTTCACTGTTAATTCTATAGCTTCTTTTCTGATAAAGAGTTATAATGATAAGTAATTTAATATAGATCTTACTAATATTATTAATGCGAATGTTTAGATTTGTTACAAGTTCTCCAGAACGGCTAAATGGATGTCACTGAATGGTGTAGATGTAGAATATAGCTTGGAAGAACGCATAGGCTACCAATTAATTTCTTTTTTTAATTCCACGCGAATAATAGCTGACGGTTAATTTCTCATAATTTCTACAAACTAAATTTTCACACTTCTAAAATTGGTTAAAGACTTGGAAGATGTGGCTATAAGATATTTATTGCAAACCAACTACTCATAATTCGGTTACTTGAAAGTTTATAACACAAGAAAAAGGTTTTTTTAATATGAAAAGGTTTTCGGGGAGCTATAGACAGATAACCTCTTTTTCATTGAGTTGTTAAAACTCCTAATTAACACCACGGTATTGCCAATCAATGTAAAAACGACAAGCGATAGAGTCGAAACAGCCTCTTGAAACCACTTCAATAATTTGCACGTGTGATTATGGAACTTCTTTTTAGTATTAAATTTTTGTTATTAAATTTTACCTTTTTAAAATGCCTGTTTGCTAATCCGTGTAAGTAGCGTTATTTATAGGTCACTTTGCGCATTGTGAAGGAAATATTAGTAATCTTACTAATATTATAAATGAGAATGTTTGGATGGATAGATGTTTGTCTATATGTCTCCGGAACGGCTGCATGGATCTCGCTGAAATTTGGCACAGATGTAGAACATAGTCGTAGATGGAGTCGCGGTCGACGGCTAGTTTCTTAAACAGATTTCAAAAATGTCAAAATTCAATGAAAAGAGAGATTATAAAGTTTGTATTAAAATTTTTCCACATGCATGAATGATGAATTTCTGTCGTTGTATATTTGATTTACGATACGAAGGTCGATAGTTCGAATCAATCAAATTTAACAAATCAATTATGAATGAAACAAATATATGTGTATTTTATTTTAAACTGTAAAAGCCGTTAGTGATGTTATACATTGATAAATGTCAATGTTAAATTGTTGACATTAGCTATCGCCCGTGACTCCGTTCTCGCAGAATTAAGAAAAACCTTTATAGTAGCGTATGTGTTCTTCCAGGCTATGTTTTACAGCTATGCCAATCAGCGATATCCATCCAGCTGTTCTGAAGATACTTTCTAACAAACATCCATCCATCGAAACATTTGCATTTATAATATTAGTTTTACTTCCTGTGAGACAAACATTTAGCGATGATTCTATTATACAAACTTATGTAACTTTGTTTATCTATATTAAAGATAAACAGCCCCTAAAATACACGTTATCGCTTGCTCAACATTAAATTACAGTGTGTACAAACGCAAGCCAAGCCGTTCTAAGATTAACGCGGCCGCATTTAATTCGCGCGCCTTTGTTACCGGCCTACCTTCTACTCAATGCTCTGAAATAGAATTGTATACAGCTCACAACTCCCCATTGTAGTCTTCAGTACTCGAGTTTCACGTTCCCGGTCATACGTTACTGGGTCACGGATACAGGGTGAACAGACAACCTACGGAATGAGGCCAATATATCACCTAAGATGCTTATTGACCCTCTATCGTAAACGCGCGGTAATCAATTTTGCAAATTTCTAATACTTTCGTATATAACTAGCTGTCGCCCGCACCTCCGTCCGCGCGGAATTTAAAAATAATATAATAATAAGTAGCCTACGTCTTCTTCCATACTATGTTAAATGTATACTTTTCTATACAGATCTGTTCAGCCGTTTTGGTGATGCCTTCAAACAAACATCCAACTAAACATTGGCATTTACAATATTAGTAAGAAGTTAGATATAACTAGAACAGATTATTGCAATAAAAAATATCTAGATTCGTGAAATTATTCATTGACGTTCATAATGTTTTTTTTATTCCTAAGGTTTAAACCATTGGCTAGTGTAGTCATTCTAATATGTGGATTTCTTTTTTAGTGATAATATAAACGGTATAAAAGTTTCACTTTACTCTTTGACTTGAAGTCTTTAGTCTCGAAATATTTGCTTTAGAGTTTTTGATTATTATTTGCATTCCCAGTTCGTGGGAGAACCGCAACTAGGTCACGGATGTAGGGTGGGTACAGACGGGTGGATGTGCCACGCGGATATAAAGTTACCTATCAACTCTGACAACTTTTGATAGAGTTAATAAACTCTGTTCTGTTCCCAACGCTGACTGACTCTATCCAAAGTACCAATCCTTATAGAGTTAAATTATATCGTTGGAATAGTTAACAAGAATGTAAAGTCGAAAATATTAAATAGGACATATTATGGAGGAGTATTTTCGATTTAGTCTTGACAAAACGTTAAACAAGTTTCTAATAAAATAAATTCCAGCTTCATACCTTCACGCATTTTAGAGTAAAACGGTCTTGACAGACAGACGGACGGAAAACAAAGTGATCCTAAAAATGTAACGATGTTAGAATGTTTGTAACTCATCTTCTTTTTGGGCGTATTGGAATGTATATTGAAATTAACATTTATATATCAAATAAGTATAAAATTAATACAATAAAAAGCCTTTTGATACTGTTTACATTGTTCTTTGATTACAATTTTTACTTTTATAATAGAAATATTGCCTTTTTCTACAATCATTTTCAATTAGGCTTATATTTTAGCGAGGATTTAATTGTTTGAGTGTTATTAATTAACAATATGTTTACTTAGGGGCGTCGGTGGCTCAGGGGTTAAGCACTTGATTTGCAATCTGCAGGTCCTGGGTTAGAATTCCGCCATGTACCAACGTGTTTTTTCGATTTCTGATTTACATATGTACATTTATCCGATGTTCTTACGGTGAATGAAAACATCGTGATGCAACCTGCACATATCTGAGAAGAAATTCAAAGATATGTGTGAAGTCTACCAACCCTCACTTGGCCAGCGTGGTTGACTATGGCCTAATCACCTTTAACTTAGGGTAGGCTCCGAGCCCCTCGGTGGGGACGTATAGTGAGATGTTTACTAAATTTTTTGTATTTTTTTCCAGATCTTTATAGTTCCTGATAGACCGTCCGTCACGACTAGACAAGTGAGTTTTCCATACTATTCATACATCATCTACCTTGTCTTCTATTCTTTTTATTGTTTTAATTTAGCGAGAAACTTAATTACGTAACAAAATCAGAAATGTTTTGAATATCATTATTTCGCTTACAGTTTAAATATTAAATTCTATTTATATAGAGTCATATACAACTGTGAGGCGAGTGCTCAATTTTCTCTCGCTTGTCTGAATTGTCGTAAAGTTGGACGACGCTACGACAAAATTGTGACTTTTGTCACGTTTGTTGTCCAATGCTTTTCAAACTTTTTAATAGTAGTAAACAGCTGAAGCTATTGTATTGGAGAATTTATAATACAACTATGTATGATTTGTTGGTTCTGCATAATGAGGCTAATTCATCTAACAAATTTGGCCTCGTAATTGTACCGTCTTTCCCAACAAATCTGGTCTGTAACTATTTGTATGTAAAATGTTTTGACGTACTTTCTTAAAACAGTTGAAAATAAGATTTATAAGCTTGGAATTATTATGTTGAGATTAACCAATTCGTCCATTGAACCGCGCCGGCTGCACCGCACGCAGAGCCCGCAACAGATTTTAGTTTGCTTTGTATAACGCTGCATTCATCATCCGAGCCGCGTATCGCATCAAGACAAAACAAATCCATTTAATCCGTGCGTGCGTTGCGTCCGGCGCGGACGTATAGACGCGTACTTTGAAATTACATATAGATATAATAGTAATAAAAATTATAATATGCTATAATAAAAACAGAATATTATTAGACATTTATTTTCTGTTTAGAGAGAGTAAAAATACAAAAGACGTCTTAAATATTACAAGTTAATTAATTTATTCAATTCCGTGATTTTGCTCGTGTATTGAAAATGTTCGGTACTGCGAAATAACAAGAAAGTTGTCTATCAAAGCATTGAATAAATTTAACATAAATAAAGCGTAAAACATTTAATTTCAGCGAAGTTAATCAAAGCAAAGCTAAATGAATATTTAAATTTTCCGAGGCATGTATTATCATAACATATTTAACTGTATAATATTAATTTACATATATTATAATACTAGTTGTCGTCCGCGACATCGTCCGCGTGATGTTTAAACTAAATTTAATTAGTAGCTTATTTGTTCTTCCAGGCTATTTTTTATGTTTATGCCAAATTTTGTCAAGATCCGTCGAGCCGTTCTGGAGATACCTTCAAACAAACATCCATCCATCCATCTATGCATCCATCTAAACATTCATATTTATAATATTAGTAAGATTTTAATTGATATAATAAAAGTGACAGATTGGTGTCCACTTTAATTAAAAATAAAATCTTATTTTCTGTAGTTAAATTCACTGAAATTATATTTAAACATGTCACTGGCTGATAATGTCATTTATTGTCTATGGATTTCTTTTGGATAGTTTCAGTGTTTATATTAATGATGCAGACGTTTCTAATTTTAAGAGTCTGTGATTACAGACTGATAAAGGTAAAATTGTTAAGACACTTATACAAAAGTTCGCGTCTATATTGAATTCGACTATACGCTTATTTCACTTTGTAAAAATATCAATTTATTATACATCTTTAGTTCTATAATTACATATAGTCTTAAATCTATGATATAAAATAAAATATTAAAAAAAAACGAATAATTCACTAAAATATGTTATTAAAAGGAGTCCCTTTAGGCAAGGTCCCGAAGATACTGGCAGCGTTCCCCCTCTGTACAGCTAAACTAATTCTTTGACCGAGGTAGCTGCCAGCTCTTCGGTCCCCTGTAATGTCGATTAGAAAAAACAAAAAAAAATTGTAAAAATTACATGTAAACTTAATGTCATCTCTCTTGTTCTCTTTGATAAAAACAAAGACAATAATTATAATGCAAATGTCACGGTAGCAAATTTTCAAGGAAAAGCGGCATTTTTTTTTACATTTGCCTGCTTGCATGTTGCAATTATCAAGTTTAAAGCACTCGTCGGCAAACTCGCGTCCTCGCTGAAGTCGTCGTCATACTGAAGGAGCAATCTTCTCCACACTTAGAGAATAAATTTGTATCCAAGTTCGTACAGTCTCGCGTTGCCTGTAATTTAAATGTTAAAAATGTTTTTTGAAAATGCATATACTACGTTGAGTTTTTCGTAATGATTGAAGAAAGCTATAAGATATTCTAGACGTGACATGCGACAATATTGTCATTGACTCATGTGTGATTTTAGTGCTTCGTCACCAGAAATAGAGTGTCACGATGAATCTAGGTCAGATAAAATTACCGCTAAATT